CAATCACCATAGACGCCTTATTGAGGATACAGGTTCTGCCCACTGAGGGTTTTCAGACAGATGGGCTGTCTGTTTTCCCAAACATGTTGGCACTTCCTGCTTTTGTGGACGTTGCCTTTATCTAGGAAAGTCCATTGACTCTGATACTTCCTATGCTTTCTGTGTCTTAGTTTAACATCCTTTTCTTCGTATGTAAACTAGCAGGGCTGAATCAGTAGAAGTTCACAATCAGGAGGTTGTAGGGTCATTGACCGCACTTATTAGCCATGCAACCTCAGGGAAAACATAAATTCTCTGTCATAGACAGTGTATAAAAAGAAATAATAGCCGAAACCGGTTTGGCTCAGTGGATAGAGCATCGGCCTGCGGACTGAAATGTCCCAGGTTCGATTCCGGTCAAGGGCATGTACCTGGGTTGCGGGCACATCCCCAGTGGGAGGTGTGCAGGAAGCAACTGGTCGATGTTTCTCTCTCATCAATGTTTCTAACTCTCTATCTCTCTCCCTTCCTCTCTGTAAAAAATCAATAAAATATATTTTAAAAAAAAGAATTAATAAAAAAAGGAAAAAAAGAAATAAAAGTATTTGAATAGCTTGCAGAACAAGTTAAAATAAAATGTTTATTGAAATACTATATTATACTGTCATATACATGTATGCATTCTCGAATCAGACCCATCCCTACCAGCTGTGTGACTTTGGGAAGCTTACTTAACTTCTCTATGTCTCAGTTTCCTCATCTGTTAAAGGAGGGTGATAAGTGTAAAGCACTGATATATAAAAAGTAAAACATTTTTAAGCACCTAGAAAAATGTATGCTTCACTGTGCATCCATGTCTTTATTATAAATCAAGTTCAGAAAATGTTATCTGAATTCCAGCTCAAAATATATTATACTCAACTAAGAAAGATTTTTGTGCTATGAATGAGAACTCATATAATTTTTAAAAATAAAAACAAGCCCTAGGTGGTTTGGCTCGGTGGATAGAGTGTCGGCCTGAGGACTAAAAGGTCCCAGGTTTGATTCCCGTCAAGGGCACATGCCCGGATTGCAGGCTCAATCCCCAGTAGGAGGCCTTCAGGAGGCAGCCAATCAATGATTATCTCTCATCATTGATGTTTCGATCTCTCTCTCCCCCTCCCTTCCTCTCTGAAATCAATAAAAATATATATATATATATTTTTAAATATGTATTTTTATTGATTTCTTTCAGAGAGGAAGGGAGAGGGATAGAGAGTTAGAAACATCAATGAGAGAGAAAAACATTGATCGGCTGCCTCCTGCACGCCCCCTACTGGGGATGTGCCCGCAACCAAAGTACATGCCCTTGACCAGAATCGAACCTGGGACCCTCCAGTCCGCAGGCCGACACTCTATCCACTGAGCCAAACCGGTAGAGCAATAAAATATATTTTAAAATAAAAATAAATAAAAAACAGAGCAAACAGCAAGCTGTTAAAAAAGTCTAAACACAGGCATTTTTATATCTATTAAATATCAATATATAACAAAGAAGAGTCTTAAATCTTTAGAGTATTTTATGAATATGTAGTTTTGATTTGTGGTTGGAATCCGTCTATGTAGAGGACTAACTTAAATTATGTGTGCATTTTTGACTGCACAGGTGGTCTGCGCCCCTAGCCCCCAAGCTGTTCAAAGGTCAACTGTATATCATTTTTATTTAAAAAAATGGAGTGAGAATTGATTTTATCCTTTTCCTCTTAAAGCAATGGGCACTTTTTTCTCATTTATATTTAAAGTCTGGAAGAATTCTATGGTGAAGCAGTAAGAATAAATTTCTATATATATTTTTTTTAAAAAATCAAACTGTGCGACTCAGCTTTTTAAAAAATGACTGGAGAGGGAGATGTTAAAAAGATTGTATTTTTCATCGTATTCTCTTTTTATCTGCTCTCTCTCTCAAGCAATGTAAGTACTGCAAATATAAAATTTATTTGTCAAAAATCCTAAGAATCTGCAGTTTTAAAATGGAATATTCCTTAAGTCACAGACACTGAAGCCTCATGAGAAGTTCATATATAACACAACCACAGCGATGTCTGTGGTAAATATGTAATTACATTAGAATTTTAGAAATTGTTATTGTTTTGACAAATTTACTTATCATATAAGGTTAGTGCTAATGAAGAACATATAAGATTAGATTGATATTGCAAAATAATGCATCAACATGAAGTTTTATCTAATGGCAATCTGACATTCCTGCCTTCAATACGCCTAATCTATACCACAGGATATAAAAAACATTCGCTTTTGTTATTTCCGTGATTTGGGATCATTCCTGGTGAATCAAATATAGCTAGCTTTTGTTGTTGTTAATTCTAATAACCATGTCAAATCTTGATAAAAGGCAATCTGTAATCATTTCAAAGCAAGAAACTAGCTTTGCATCTTAAAATTATGAAAGGATGTAGAATTTCTAATGCTAAATTGAATGATATTTTCAATTCCTAAAATATGTAATTTGTTTTAAACATTGTTCACTTGCACTCCCGTGGTATTTTACAGCATTTTGTGTCAAGTATCCTCAGAGAGTGGTTTCTCTGTGCTCATCCCATCTCAGGAGGATTAGGGGAGGGCCTGAGTACAGATGTGTGTGTTCCAGGATGACAGCTCTCCTCCAAATAGAATCGTCAGGTTTCAGCTGTGAGCCAATGACTTCTAAAAACACTAGAATCTCAATACTTTGCAGAATGTACAGCTTGTTATTATAAGCCGCATTCCTAATTGTCTGACAAAAAGTGTGCCATAAAACATTTAGTCTAGCACATTAACTTAAACAGTGTTTATATATATTTTTTGTTAATCATGAATGTTTATATTAGGTATAAAATTTGAGCATAAAATTTTTAGCATACCAATAACAATGTGATTTTATGTCAGAAACAAAATAATTATATAATAGAAAATATAGGTGCCAGGGGAAAATGACAAATTAGAACAGTCAAAAGGGATTACTTGGCTTCCTTTCAGTAGAGAACTGGGAATTATTACATCCTTCCTGGATAAGCTGTTTCTAAAAGGTGTTCACCTTTGATTCTGGGCTATTTTACAGCTGTGAATTTAAGTTGAAGAGAACTTACAGTGATGCATATGATTTTTTCATCACAGTTACAGTCACACTTATTCAATAGAGATGTAATTGATATGCTGTGGATGAAATAATTACATTTATTTTCATATAGAATATTCACAAGTTTGAGATTTATTATCAAGTTTAAGTATTGCTGATTACTTATACACAGATACAAATATGTTTGTATGAATGTGCACATGAATCTGTCCTTTAAATTTTCCTTTGAACCAATTTTAACCTCTTATTAGTAACATTAAGTCAAATAAAATTTTAGCTTGTGTTCGTTTTATATTAGCACCACAGCCATGATTTTATCTTTTTTGAATATATATTTAACAGAAAACTCTTCTAACATGAAGCAAATGCATTTAAATAAAATGAAAATATTATTAGGATAATGTTTGTAAATTTTAGATCGGTTTTAGCCAAATTTGGGGTCAAACAGATGGGACTATTCAAATTGTCATAAATCAGATTTTAAAAAATCCTTAATCTCCAAGTAATACAAGGATTAAAACAAAATTAAGATCCTCATGGATCAGAAAGTTTTGTCAACCAATCACTGAACCTGGAATATCTGTATTAATGGGTATTGGAAGCGTGTTACCATACTACTTAATGTTCCTAAGAACAATTTATGACTAATAGGAAAGCAGAAGCATTCCAGGCATTATAATATGTTTTATTTGTAAAAGAAGAAACCACAGATATATATACAAACACAAATGCCCAGACCCAATGCTATGCAAATTGTTAAATGTCCCAAGCAGTATACTTTCAGTGTATCACACTTAGTTAAAATGTAGGGAGAGTGAGAGTGAAATATCGGACACCTTTGGAACATCTCCCCTGCCCCCAATTACAGTACATTGAAGTAATACATACAGTCTGGACTCGTTTCAAACTCAAACTTGCGACTGTTGGTCCCATATCCAGCTGCTGTCCGGGCTCGGATTTGGAATACGTAAGTAGTGTCAGGCTTGAGGCTGTTGATGGTAACATTTGTGCCTCTTGCCCTCAGAATGGTATAACTTGTCTCTTGCTCCTGCTTTGAGGTAAGAAAGATCAAGTTAAAATCGAATCTTCATAATGTATTAAGTGGTAAAAAGTAAACCACTCAAAACTATTTTAAAATGTAGCATAGGAGATATAAAAGAGAGATGATAATCATTTCACTCTCTGAAGGCATTTTTTAGAAAAAAAAACCATTTAGTTTCCTAATTTGGATATAATAATTTGTGTCCTGCACATAAAGCAGGGAAGTTAGTTTTCTTTCTTGCCAATGAGTGAATCTTTGAGCAAAAATCTGTTCTCTTCAAACATAAGGCTGAAATTTTCAAGCTGATTAGAAGAATACTTTTGCAAAGAGGAAAATACTCCTTTGCATTGTTCCTAATAAGAATGTCCCACTGATTCTCAGATAGGAAATATTTTATCAATTGTAAACTATTAAACTTAAAAGAACAAAGTTCTATGTATAGCTCTACATTAATCATGTTGTATTTGCATTGTATTGAAGCAACAGTGATTTAATAGAAACACAAATCCTCAGGTTGAAGTCTAGAAATCCTCAGGTTGAAGTCTAGAAATATTTTCCCAAAGAATCTCATCTAGGAGAATCAATGCATTGTACATGAACAGGTTCACATTACACATCCATAGTAAAGTCTTTTTGTGTCGAGCTTTGTTTAAAAAATGAATTTATACAGAACCTCATTTGTTCTCTAACATATATTAATATCTCCTGAGCACTTTATGGAGAGCCTGTTTTTGAGCATAATGGGCTGTTCCTGTATCTGGGGTGGCGTCTGGATTGGGGAGACGAAATGATGCTTGTCCTCAACCAACACTAGATGGAACATTGCAGAAATAAGGTTGTATGTAGGTTACATGTACTTTTTAATTAAAGATGCTGGTTATGATAGACTTGGAGTTGATATATTTAATAATGAAGAGAGATAAATATATTCATTTTATAAAAAATTATTTCATTTGTTATAAAAATTTTCACAAGCCCTCATAGAGTGAAATATTACAATATTTCTAATTGTCATATATATGGAAGTTATTTTTATATTGATGTATGTATGATATAAATACTTACATATGTATTTAATAATATTACATAAGTGTACCAATTTTAGAAATGCATAGGGAATAGCAAAATAGATTTAGACTTTTTTTTCCTGCACTGGTTAATATTGCTTAAAAATATCCTTGCGTTATGCTTTTGTTGGTAGAGAATAAAATAAGTTCAGAAATTTTTTTTTGTATTTGCAAAAGATATGAATTTAGATTCATTATTTTTTCAAACAGCACCATATATCTAAAAGCTGGGTGCTTTTTAGTTCTGCTACCAGGTCTGAACTGAGGCACATCATTACTTTTCTTTTTATTTTGTTGCATCAGCTATAATATGGATTCTTGTGTTTTCACAGGCTTTGTCACACTTTTAAAGATAGAAGATCATGATCAGATGACTATTTAACAGTGCCCTACAAGATCATAGAAAACTAGGAGATAACTTATTTATACTGTGATTTGACCCAGTGAAGTTCATTAGGTCTCTATTCCTTTTAATGAAATGAGACATACCTTCTCTGTGTGTGGTGTGAGTGGTGGGGAGAAGGGGGTAAGATAAGAATGGCATGATACTTGTGAAATAGGTTAACTTCAATAAAGAAAATACCTACATTTGCAAAAAAATTCATACATTATACCTTTTGTTCAATTGATCATATTTAATAATCCATTGTCATGTGGAAGCAGGGAGGCAACACAGGGAAAAACATACTAATGAGGAGTCATGGCTGCCAGGATTCAAAACAGAGACCTACTGTTCATTAGCAGTAAGGGTGTGAGAAATGCAAATAACTTCACTGACTCCAAGTTTTCTTTTATTTGTAAAAAAAGCCTGCTTTCTCACTTTCACAGGGTTATCAGACAGCTCCAAATTAAACAATGTATGCAAACATTTTCTATAAATATCAACTACTATATAATATTCACTCTAAAATACTTTGTAAACTGCAACAAATACACAAAAATGTTGTGTCCATAGTAGTAGCTATAAAACCACCCAGCTCTGATGATGATGTTTGAATACATCTTGCTTCCAAATCTCACAATCATGTATAACCAGGGAGAAATAAGTGCTATTTAGTGATGAAATATAAGAGTCTAAATTCTACTTATAATTAATCATATACCTATTTTGTACAACTTCATTACTGAACCACAATTTTATGATGTGAGGCAGACTTACACACCCACTCCCATCTTCTAAATTTCCTTGTACAAAGCCAAGAAAACTTTTCTCTGTCAGTTCAATAATAATACATGGGTCTTGTTATTCAATGTTTCTATTAAATAAAATTCATGTGAATGTGTAGGTAAAGTAACGATGCTTTAAGGCAATAAACTAAGGAATAGTTCATCAAGGGTTAAGGAATCACTATGAAATAGTTGGTAGAGCAACAGGTCTTGATGTGGAAGGACATAAATGTCATTTCCAATGACTAGATGTCTTAAGTTTGGTAGTATCATCTCTGCGTGACTCATTGAAGTTGAATGGGGGATATTCTACACAATAATTTCTAAATCCCTCTTTACCTATAAATCAAAGAAGTGCCACTTAACTACAGATTTAAACAAAGCACTGCCACTTTGTAGCAATGCCATTCCTGTCTTTGTAAGAGCACAGCTCAGGAGTAGGTAACCTCTTTCCCTACACAACCCAACACTAACACATTGTCTCCCCACCTTTTCATAATATTTGACCTCGTAGTCCAATATGATCCCATTAGGGTGTTCGGGTTCTTGCCAGGATAAAGAGATGCTGTTTCCGGATGTCCGATCCTTCTTAATGGTCATGACAGGTGATGGAGCTGTAAAGAGAGGATGGAGGGGTCACAGGAGGGGGCAAATTAATCAGGTTGTGAATGTGGTAAAGAGGAGCAGAGAGCAAAGCGAACAGCAAATGGAGTCTATCATTGTTCTAATTTTTGGCAAGAAAACACTATTTCCATTTCAAAGGCTCTTGAGTATTAATCTGGCCCCATATCAAGCCTCGGCAGCTGGATTATAGCCCTGGTACAAACAGGCCTATGGAAAATGAGCTGAGATTTTCAGCTGCTGGTGGAATAGTGGCAAGTGAGCAGATGTTTTCAATCTGCTACTCTAATGTAAGCAATGAAATATATTTGATATATTAAAATAAGAACAAAACATCAGGACTACCTATTTGTTATAATGTTGCAAAATTATTAATACCAGATTCTTCAGCTCATTGATAACATTTTCATCCTCAACTCTGTAGGAGGACTGGAATCCATTATGCACAAGGAGTCCCATGGTATCAATAGGTAATAATAATATTCAATATATTGTAAAATAGATAAGATTTAGGACATACAGTAGGACATACCTTGACTGTTGACAAAAGCCTCTAATGAATAAAAATATATACCAGAAAAGTGCAGCAATCTTCTGCTTTAACATTTTTTATTTATTTAAAAATATTTAATAAGAACTACCAATGAAATGACTGCTGTTTGTACCACAACTCTCAACCTATATTGTGAAGTTTCTTATTGGGTGGTGACTTGATATTTATTATGTTTTACTATGCATTATCAAAAGAATAGAACATGAATAAAAACCACCTGTTTGGATCAGATATCAGAGGGTCACCTTCATTTCTGATGGAAGATTAAATATATTTTAAGTGATATCCTACTTAAAATCCTTCCATTAAAAATAAAAATCCATACTCTCCATCAATGCACTTCTGGTTTCAAATCTCAATCTTGGTACATTGGCAACCGAAATATCTCACTTGAGGTTCAGTGGCTTTCTGCTTTAATGGAATCCAGCAAAACACATTAGAAACATGAAAAAAAAATCAAGAATTCTTAGGTACATTAACTGCTGAATTGTTTTCATTGCTGAAGGACCTATTTTTTCTCATCACTTTTTCTCAAACCAAAGACTGTTAAAACACTGTGTTTGTATTTCCCACAATGGCTAGCAGACTGTTGATTTGATGTTTCTGTGATTATGCCAACCTTTATATATATATATATATATATATATATATATATATATATATATATATATATATATATATAACTGAGGAGACAGAGGAAGCTAGGTAGACAGGGATGGGACCATGGGGAGGAGGGAGTAGAACCCAGGAACCCAGCTAGGTGGAGTTACTAAGACAAGCCAGCTAGATGGAGAAAGAACACGCACCCACCCGGGAGTGTAAGCTTTAAAATGTATGGGTATTACTAAAACAGGCAGTTTGCAGATAACCAATCACAAGACAGTGAGGCATATAACCGATCCCAATAATGTTACTAAGATAGAATTCTTTGAAAGGACCAATCAGAAGCTAGCAAGGCACGTAACTACTCCTGGACAAAAAACAAAAAACCAAACAAACACGCATGTCTCTCTTCCTCTCTCCCCTCTCCTCTTTCTCTGGTGTGTGCTGGGTTCCATGGGTTGTGCTCCCCTGCACCGCGAATGGAAACTCCAGACACTAGCCTGCTTTTGGAATCCCCTCTACACCTTTTCCAGGACTGCCTTCTCCCAATAAAAGTTGCTTCCGCTATCTGTTTTTGTTCGTGAACTCATTCTTTGATTTTGTGAGACAACAAACTTGGACCCAAACACCATATTTTGGTTTCACAACCTCTCATTTAAATTGTTCCTGTTTATAAATGCCTTTACTTTTTATTCCTCACATAAAACTAGTTTCATGAGCCTGCCTCATGACACTTTATTGGAAAATGTAATCCTAAATGAAGACTCTATTGCAATAACTTTCCCATTCTTCTATTACTTGTAAAACCCTCTTAAGAACTCTTTTGTTACTAAAGCATCATTTCTTGGATTGAGTGGCCTGGGGATGATTCTGAACCTTTTGCCAAGGAAAAATGTAGGTCTTGCTTTCCTGATGGAAAAGTAAATTCATTTTCTTACTTATGTTTTGCTCCCATTAATAATTAATATCTTTTCATGAAGCATCATTTTCCATTAATGTTTGCTTTTCTTCTATTCAGTATTATTGTGTTATACCCAACATGGACTCACAACACCCCCATCCCTCACCCCTGGTGGTTGCTGCTCTGAAATTGATTCTAAGAAAAGGGTAATTTATTTTGGTTATATTAATTGAAATTTTATAAACATACTCAATAATTATAAACATATCACTGAGCCATAAATAACGGATTTGTTAAATAATTGAGAATTATTTTTTTATGTATTCTAATACTTAGAAAAATCAAGTCATTGTCCAATCACTAATATAAAAATTTCTGCTCCAATGTCCATGGAACCAAATTCTGCTTTTTATACAAAAAAAGGGAGAAATATCACAAATTTTCCTGCTGAAAGAAACCCACTTTAGAGTAACTAATGTATGCTTTCAGAGCATTTCAAAGAAGCTAAATGTTGGAAAACTTTCCTGGTAAAACCATGGAGACCCTATATTCATCCCATATCACCTTGAATATGATTTATTTTCCTTAACGGTTAAAATACACTTTTAAAGAAACTTTGAAAATTACCAGGTATAGCATCTCTCCTTAAAGAGAAAGAGAAAGCAATTCATATCAAAGAACAATTGTAGCTAGGATTGAATTAACTTTTTCAGGAAAGCTTTGCAGGCTGTTTTGGGGATCTGCCCACATTTTACTGCTTCTGCACCGAGCAAGACTTTATAACTGTTGGAATTCTTCAAAGGTCTGTGAGCAAGCTGCAGACCCCATTGGACTGTAATAAATAGCCTTTTGTAATTCCACACTTACTTAAGCAGAGGCAATTGCTCAAAACTTGTGTCATCTCTAAGTTAAATGAACCTTTTCTGATTGCTGTTTTTAGGCCCCTGTTAAGTCATTTGTTCTGCTCTTTTAATATAGACCCTCGCCCCGTGTGTTGGATGCGTTTTCACAGTCTCACCCCAGTACACCAGCTGGAATCCCGGTACATTTGGGTAATGCTCATCAATATTTTAATATTAATAAATAATTAACAGAATTGTTTTTCTCTCCCCTAATAAATAATTTTAAGACATAATAAAACCCCGCAGAAAAGGAGAAATTTTATGGGTATTCTACTCTATCCATACTTTCTAAAAAGTTTTCTAGAAGCCATTTTTAATTCATGTCTTAAAGTATAATTTATCCATACTTCCACATGTGCTTAACACAGCTTATAATAATAGTGAAAATCAGTGATACAGATTATGTTTTTTTAGCTATTCTTCATGTATCAAAGGGTGATTTTTCAATGGACTAATTTTCTAAATCCACAGAAATTCCTTAGGTTTTAGTTCTGTCTAAAGAAACATAATATTGTAATGTATATCATAAAATAGTTGTGATTTATCTTATCCTTATTTCTCAGCTTTCAAAGTTTGTGATTTGAAAGAATGGTGGGTAACAGTCATATGAAATAAAAAATAAATCAATCTTAAGACTAGAGAAATACTCAGAACAACAATGAAAATTTATATAGGAGGAGAAGGCACAGGTTTTCCCAGGCAAAATGCTGCTAAAATTGCAGTTATTGGTGAGCACCCTAATATCCCAGGATTAAGAGTTTAAATCTGGTGCCTCTTTTATGTACCTTAAATGATACAAGTGATTTTCTTATTAAAAGGAAGAGGTTGAAAACACAATAGGCAATAGGCTATCATGAAAATGGCCAGGCAGTTATGAAGTTTAGTAAATGGACATTTTTACAGGAAAAAAAAAGAAGAAAAGGGAGAAGAAGGAGGAGGAGGAGGAGGAGAAGGAGGAGGAGGAGGAGGAGAAGAAGGAGAAAAGAAGAAGAAAAAGAGGAAACTGCTAACCAGGAAAATTAAACAAAGGGGGGGTAATTCTTTTTAGTAAGTTAATAGCCCACTTTAAAATAATGTATTGCTGTGTAATTTACATTTTTGTTGTAGTGATCCTATATAATAAAGAGCTAATATGCTAATTAGACTAAACAGCAGAACGACCATTCGGATGACCTTCTGGCCAGAGCCAAGGTTGCAAGGACTGAGCCCCTTGCATGAATTTCGTGCATCGGGCCTCTAGTTAGTATATAATAGGGAAAAAATATTTGATTCTTAGCTTTTTTTATTCTGGGTACAATCAGATATATGTGTGTTTGGAAAATATAGAAAGGAAACATGATATACTAGGTAAAATTTAATATATTATATTTTAATTAAAATATTTATTTAAACAAATGCAAATATAAGGGGAAGACAGTGAAGGTTAGGAGGGAGTGGTGAAGGTTAGGGAGGTTCATGGATCACACAATTGATCATCCTCCATGAAGCTTTCCTCAACTAACTTCTGAAGCATTCTGAGCATCCCAGTATTAAAATAATTCTGAGCTTGTCAGGACACTGAGGACAAGCTCATGGCTGTTTCAATTCCTTCCTCTTTAAAATTTTTCTTTGGTCATGACATAGGATTAGACAGATAATTTCACCCTATGTTATCTAGTAATATGTGTTTCACAAAAACTATATCAAATGGCTTTTTTAGTTTTTGTTCTAAGGAGATACAACTTTCTAGGACCAAGGGTTGAATTATTCACTGCGTGTTTTCTTCCCTAGTTCCAGGCCCCTGTAGTGGCAGCCTCATGAATCAGTCATGCAATGATTGGTCCAAAAGACAGAGATATAGAGAAGTCTAACCCTCAATAATTAATTATAGAACCCTAGTCATTTATTTATAGCGGAAGGGCAAGGTTTTCTCTCATTGTCAATGTAACCTGAGACTTTGACTGCATCTAATGAAAGAATAGGAAAACAAATTACAATAGGAAGCACAAAATTAGGCTGACAAATGTTCCCATGTAAAGGGATCAGGCTAGGGTA